AAAAATCAGAACTTTAAAGAAAATAAAAACAACCCCCGGAAAACCCTCCCACCCTCTCCTCACCAGAGGAGCAGCCTTTTCAGGACTGACTTTTATCTCAAAGCATCAATTTTAGAGCCTCTCGACGTACTGACACTGCTCCCCAAGAATCTAAAACCAAGCTCACCACTACCCACAGAAATCTACAAAGCATTTAATCCTCTTTTTCTGTGTACATCCTAATGCTGTTCAAGTAAGAAGGAGAGTGAAGATCTTAGTAATTATGTGAAGCCTTGTTTTGTTTGCAGGCTGTTTCTAATGGCATGATAAACTCCTTGATGCTCGTGCTTAAGATGCACCAAGGAGACAATAGCTCAGTAAAGCAAACAATTTCTCCTGTGACCAATGATAAAAAGAGGAAGCCAATGCTCCCTCAGGGGAGGACTCCTAAGGGGATTTTATAATACAGAAATAAGACTAGGTCCTGTAGAAATATCCCAGCTTCATCGAAACAAATAGGTCAGAGAGCAGGAGGCACAGCAGAAAAGAACAATCTGTGCTGATTATTTTTGACCCGCTGAAGGTGTTTGGCAGCTTGAACCTATGTTACTGCAACTATACCGTAATCAACAACTGGACTGCAACGTAGACATATCCTTAAGTCAGTCAAACACAGATGTTAAGCAGTAGCACTTAGAAGACCATTAATTATGGAATTAAATATATCCTTAATCACCAGAATACTTGACAATTTAAGTTTAATTAAGCAGTAATTAAACTACAGTTAGTGTTGTTACATGCAGGTTATCATTGTGATTTATATATATAGTACAGCTTTCATATGGGGTGAAACCTACACAAATAATTACCTAGTAAAAAGAAAAGTGTACACTAAAAGAAATTAATTACTTTGTTCAGAGACTGTACTTCCAAAGAGTCAATTCTAAATGGAAACCCAACATGAAAGGTATTAACAAGTTTGGATAACTGGTGCTACAATAATAAAATACTGTTCATTATAAATCTTTTGAACGCTTTGCATATATGTGTTAATAATACATGGTTTAAACAAATAAACCTTTAGAAGTTGGATTAAAATTCACTCCACACTACACAATCTAATTTCTAGTCAGCTACCATTAGTGGGCGTTATTTTGCTTATGTTTTTCATGAATCAACAGCAAAACAGACCAACACCGCTGTGTTTTTAAGCATCCTGAATTGTATAAATATTATACCTCTGAAATGTTATCATATAATTTGTCTTCAGAGTTCTGTAGTACATTTTGGTTTCATTTGCAGCTAGACACCTTGTAGATGTCCTACTAATGGAATGGAATTATAAGGCATTCAGAAACAGGCAGATGCCTACATGGATATGTGATTTAAAACACAACAAAGAAAATTACACAATTACATTGCTTTTTCCGCTCATCTACTAACGCAGAGTCTTTTCCTGAAGATTACTCATCGGGAAGCTACCGACCTTCATATTCCTTAAAAATCTTCTTGGCGGACTTTTCTTAATTTTGTTCAATAAGGTCAGACAGCCTGAGAAAACCCCTGGGAGGAAGTCTTGTACATTTTGGAGGTTATGTGAGAAACATGGATTTGTGCCAAAAGAGGTCAGAGTTTGGAATCAAATGAATAGCAGTTTAGGAAACAGACCTGGTGCTAGACACCTGTCAGATGGGTCCTCTGCCTTCTCCCACCATATATGCAGTCATCTGAGCTCTCACCTAACTTGGACGCACATTCTCACAAAATCCACATACACCCTCTCTCCTCTTCCTGCCCTTCTGCCAGCTGCTTGCAGCTAACTTCCTGCCTCCCCCCAAAACAGAGTCTGTGAAGAAAAAGCACGAAAACAGATGAAAAGAGTTCAGAAACAATGAGAAACTGCAAGTGTCACCAGGCGAGTGAGGAAATTGCATCGCATTTTTGAGAGGATGGAGGCAACCAAAATGGAGCTGATTGACCATAAGCTGTCAAAATGGAGACAGAGCTTCCTCAAGAATAAATCAGCTTGTCTACAGTGAAACCAGTGAAGCTACGCTATTTTACACTTATTCCTTGGACTGCCACGGATATTACTATAGCATAAGACATTCTGGCACATCAGCTAAATTGCAATACCTAACCAGGTATTATTTCAGACTGTATGCAGCAAATGCAAAGAAAATGACTTACTATACTCCTCAGTGAAAGAAAGATTGTGTAAAAATGTCTATATTTCCACAGGCAAAGAGAGCACATGGAATCCACTACAGACAGACTCAGCATATGCATGGTAACCTGCTTAAACTGCAGTACCCCATCCAAGCGTATAAGCGTTCACCTGCGAATAAGGGTGAACAGTCCAGATGGCAGGTCTCAAGAAGAAAGCGGACTAGAAAGGTTATCTTTCTATTTCTACGGCCAAATATCCGTATTACTCAGACATCAGTTAGATGTATCATATTGATAGAAATCTGACTAGTATTAGTATTACTAATATCAATAACATTTAAAACTGTCAGAGCTTGCCTGTATTTTTATTAACATGTTAATTTAGCTTAAATTTACTAGTCAGAGTCAGGGCTTCTTCTATTAAAATTCCCCTGTCTATATTAGCATTTTGGTTCAGAGCTAGAGTGAGGCTTTGAAGCACAGTCCTGATCTTTACTGACTGCTGGTTCACAGAGCAGTTCCTGTTGCATAAAACCCACACTCCTTTCAGAAGGAAGGAAATTGGAAGCTCCTCTACTAATTCACTCCAAACCCAGATGGGGGCATTACGGTCCAGATTTAGGCATAAGCGACACAGACACGCATTCACTCAGTGTCTGCAAAATGTGCACACACCACATAGCGCTCCTGAACCACCCAGCATGCTCACAAAACCCTCCAGTAGATCCCATGTTACAAACTGCCCAGAGTTATATCCAATGTCAGCCACGAAATTGTCTACTGTTCTCCCACCATCCACTGAGGCTAACAACACAGACTGGTCCTCATTATTTCAGTCAAGATAGAAAGGCTTTTTAGCATCACTGGAAGGCATTATCAACACTGGTATCAAATCGGTAACATGGGGTCGACAGTCTTGCAGTCAGGTCATAGAATCATGGAATACTTTGAGTTGGAAGGGACCCATAAGGACCATTAAGTCCAACTCCCTGTTCCTCACAGGACTACCTAAAACTAAACCATATCACTAAGAGCGTTGTCCAAACACTCCTTAAACTCTAACAGGCAACAAAATACACATTGCCCTTTCGTCCTGTGAGATGTAAAGGTACGGCTAAACCAAGCTTGGACTCTGTGATCAGGATACAGCCACATGCTTCAGAGAGGCAGGTAGTACACAGGTTCTCCCACAATGCTGAGGGGAACCTCAACTCTGCTAATATGCCTGCCCTTCTGGAAAAGGTGCCAGTATTCCCTCATCGAGTCCGTGGCCAATTATAGGAGATCCACATCATGAGTCCTCCTAGAGAAGTTTGCTGAGATGTCCATAAACTTACCCTGAATCCTCTCCAGGAAGCCCCGACGATGCAGTTGTAGCAATTCCTAACCACCTTGGGAAGAGAAGTGGATGCAACTGTGGACCCTGTCTATACTCCCTACACAACCTACGAACACACTATTGGAGGCAAGAGGAAATGAATAAGTGTGCTCGTTTGGGTCTGCAAGTATTGCACCCACTGCCAGGTATTCCATGTTCCAAGGACAAGATGGTCCTGGCACTCCAAACTCATCTTTTGGACCAGGACTTTCTGTCAACTGTGGGTGAAGCCATCACAGAGGAAAAGATTCCAGGAAATTCTTCAGCTTGTTTTTTTCCTTAAAGCAAAAAGGGTTCAAAAGGAACGGCTTCAGTTCACTTGAGACATCCTCACAGATCAGCTGCTGCAGCCACAGAAAGAAGTCCACTATAACCCCCTAGTACCTTGTAGTGGATATTGCCAAACTCATAATTAGAATATGATGGGGCACCAAACATCTGGTCACCCTAAACAGCACATGCAGGAACAGAAACAAGGCTCTGCCATGTGTGACACTGGTAGTCAGGGCATTGACGTAGGAATTAAGATGCTGTCACGCCTTGGAGCAACGCTGTGGAATGACAACGTTGTACTTCCTAGGGAGGTCTGCAAAGAACCCCCATCTTTGGGACAGCTTTTCTTCAGAAAGCTTCCAACCATAAGTATAGTGACAATGTTCAGCACAGGGGACCAATAAAATCCAAACCAAACTTTCCAAACTGAAGTGAAGATGAGAGGAGCCTCAGTAACATCTTTGATCTACTGCTCTGCTCTTATTACACCAAATTACTTGCTTGTGAAGACATAGACTACATTCTCAAGGGAAGAAGGAGAAAAACTGTTGAACTGTTATACAACAGTAAACTTAAGTAACTGTATAATCTGTAAACTTTCCTACAGAAAAGCAGCACCCTAAAGAATGGTCAAGTGAAATTCTCCCTAAATCTTTAGGATGTAATCAGAAGCCCATTCCTACGATAGCTACTGTTATATTTATGATTACTACTGGACAGAACAAATGGATATTGCATTCAAAGTGAAGACTCAAAGGAGGATTCAAAGGATTCTGCTGGTTCTAAAGCAACAGGTATTGCTGATGTAAATCAAACTTGAAGACTCTACTGTAATAAAATCTATTGGCATTCAATTCCAGCATCCCTAATGAACTGAAAAAATGAGTGAATTTGTTATAGAGAAACAGAGGTAATTGATTGAAATCAATGGCAAAATTTCTAAATTGTTTCAATACAATGATTTCACCCACATTTAAAGCATGTGTGTGTGTGCACACATTTCATAGACTTCTATAAATATATGTAAACATAGAAACACAGCCATATATATGTAAAAACAAACATTTAGCATCATCTACAAAAATATAATTACGATAAAGATCAACAAAACATACTGAACGATATTTTGATTTAAATTCAAAATGATGATTAAGAAGGTGTCTATTATGAGAAACAAAATTTCATAAAAAGTAAAACATACCTGATAAAAATTGGGCCAGAAAGTGCTAATTGCCAGTTCTGCTCTGTTCCAAGTATCAGTGATAGATGTGTTCCAGATCGGGTTACCAATAGGACCATCATTAACTTTCACATATATATTCAAAGTGCCAGGGCTAGATCCACTCTTGCTTGAAATATAATAGTGGAAATCAATACAATGCGTATCATTTTCTTTCAGATGGGGCAGCAGGAGGTGAGCTTTCTGTCCTGCAAATCTCCCAGATGTATTCACCAACATGAAAGAACCTGCAAAACAAAGTCACTAGTTCAATGTCTTCTTTATTTTCCTCTCCCTAATATGGTGATCTGTAATTAAAATGTCATTAAAAAAAAAAATCTTTTTGCTTTGCTTTTACTAACATAACAGTAATTTGTATTCAGTAGGTATTTAATCTCAAATTACTTTTGAGAATCTCGAGATTCTTTTCCAAAGCTAATAAATATTGGAATCCTTATTTTACAGTTGGAGAAAGACAGACACAAACAAAAAAAACACTCAAGTGATCTGCACTGCTCTGAACCTACAGATGTTAGAAGAGAATCAATTGTAGGTCCCAACTATCCAAGCATTTCTATATGCAGAGTCTGTATTGGGTTTGCGTGGCAAGGTTTTGGCAGCAGGGGGGCTACAGGGGTGGCTTCTGTGAGAAGCTGCTAGAAGCTTCTCCCATGTCCGATACAACCAATGCCAGCCGGCTCCAAGATGGACCCGCCGCTGGCCAAGGCCAAGCCCATCAGCGACGGTGGTAGCACCTCTGGGATAACGTATTTTAGAAGCGGGGGAAGAAAAAAAATGAGCAAAATTGCAGACAGAAAGAGGAGTGAGAATATGTGAAAGAAACACCTCTGCAGACACCAAGGTCAGTGAAGGAGGAGGGGAGGAGGTGCTCCAGGTGCTGGAGCAGAGATTCTCCTGCAGCCCCTGGTGAAGACCATGGTGAGGCAGGCTGTGCCCCTGCAGCCCACGGAGGTCCACGGTGGAGCAGATATCCACCTGCAGCCCATGGAGGACCCCACGCCGGAGCAGGCGGATGCACCCAAAGGAGGCTGTGACCCCGTGGGAAGCCCACGCTGGAGCAGGTCTGCTGGCAGGACTTGTGACCCTGTGGGGGACCCACACTGGAGCAGTCTGTTCCTGAAGGACTGCACCCCGTGGGAGGGACCCCACGCTGGAGCAGAAGAACTCGTGAAGTTCGTGAAGAACTGCAGCCCGTGGGAAGGACTCACATTGGAGCAGTTCATGGAGGACTGTCTCCCGTGGGAGGGACCCCACGCTGGAGCAGGGGAAGAGTGTGAGGAGTCCTCCCCGTGAGGAGGAAGGAGCACCAGAGACAACATGTGATGAACCGACCATGACCCCCATTCCCCGTCCCCCTGCGCCGCTTGGGGCGAGGAGGTAGGGAAAATCGGGAGCGAATCATAGAATCATAGAATCTTTAAGGTTGGAAAAGACTTCTAAGATCATCGAGTCCAACCGTCAACCCAGCACTACCACACCCACTAAAGGTTGAGCCTGGGAAGAAGGGAGGGGTGGGGGGAAGGTGTTTTTAAGATTTGTTTTTTTCTCATTACCCTGCTCTGATTTGATTGGTAATAAATAAAACCAATTTTCCCCAACTTGAGTCTGTTTTGCCTGTGACAGTAATTAGTGAGTGATCTCTCTGTCCTCACCTCGGCCCATGAGCCTTTCGTTATATTTTCTCTCCCCTGTCCAGCTGAGGAGGGGGGGATAGAGCAGCTTTGGTGGGCACCAGGCGTCCAGCCAGGGTCAACCCACCACAAGAGCTGCAATGAAATCGAGGAGAATTATATGTGCTCAGATGGTGGGATGCAGTATATGGTGTAGATGGAGTCTAAAATGTTCTCGATTCCTTAGCCTTACTCTAGCTAATCACCAGCTATGTCCTTGACTGATTAAGTGTGACAATTGTCTCCTGGCCTCAGGAGCTGAGAAAAGAAGGAACAAATGAAAATACCCAGCAAATTGGTAAGCTTTACCAAAAGCAAAAGAAAAGAGGGGGGTGAATTTTACGCTATGGTCCCAACTTCAATAACAAATAACAAAAAATGTAAAGGTATAGTTCAAATAAAGTTATGTTCAGACAACGCTCACATGAACAGCTAGTCAATTCATGCTCTATTTTTCAGTGCCTATTAATGTGTTTCATTGAAATGTACCTTCAAAATAATCATATTACAGAACAGATGTGCAACTAAAGAATTTGAATGACTGTATAGACATTACATTAGAAAAATACAACATGGTTTTCAAGACATTCATATTTCTGGGTTGAACAAACCCAAAGGAAAGAATTCTATTATCTACATATACTATGATATCACAGAAGGAAATAAAATTCAACGCAATGTCTACTTTGGAAAGAAAACATATCAATAAAATACACGAGGTAATTTAAACCCTGCATTTTTCATAAAAGTCACGAAATGGATATGTTATAGGTGCATGCTATAAACGCATAGCTAAGTGCTCTTATAAAAATATAAGCACACACATTTCTCAAACAGCTATTAGAAAACAATTTTTAAAATTTTTTTCTTTTTTTCACTTTGATGGGTGATGATGATACCTTGGAATTTCAATGAGATGCAACCTTCTAAGTCGTTTCTTGAAACGAAATGTAAGTGTTTAGAGAACCTTGGTCCAGACTGCACCTTTATCTTAAATAGAATCATAGAATCATAGAATC